GCCCAACCCAAAACCCAGCCACAGTGCCTAAAGCCGATTCACCCGATGCAGCTCAGCCAGGAATTTCGCAACTCTCGTGTTTTAGAAACCTCTAAACACGAAGCTCTGAAAGCCTAAACCCCCTCAACCCAAAACCCAAACCCTAGAAGCCCAAAGCCAAAAACAAAAACACACCCTAAATCCCACACATCCTCAAGTCCCTTAAGCCTCAGAAGCTGCTGTCAAGGAGCGGTCAGTACCGCGCCACCTTTCTTCCGCTTCTTGGGCGCTGGCTTCTCAGCCCTCAGCGCACGCAGGGTTTGCAGGGTCTACAGGGTTTTGCGGCTTAGAGGCTTGCAAGGGGTATGGGCTCAAGGGTTCAGGGTGTGTGGGCTGATTCTGGATGCCTACCCGAAGACAGAGTCTCAGCTTCGGTCGCCTCAGTCCTTAGGCTCTAGACCCCTTTGAAAGGGGGCCAGGGCGGTGGGGGGAGGGTTCAGGGTTTAAACATCTGCAATCGTTAAACGTCCAAAACCCCGAAATTAACATGAAGTCCGCGAAAGTAGGCTCCACTAAGCAGGTAGGCTGTGGGGTTTGTTACAGGGTTTAGGGTTGAGGCGGGTGTGTTTAGGGGTTTTGGTTGGGGCCAGCGTTTTCGAATGACCTGGTTTCCTTGACTCTCCTTACAAGGAGGGAGTGGAGAACAGGCAGAAGAGGCAGATATGTCATCCTAAGCCCCTGAGCTCCTACACCCCAAATCCTAAACTCCAAAATCCCCGAGCCTGTAAGCCGAAAAACCCTAATCCCCAGGCCCTTTATAGACTAAAATCTTAACTCTAAATCCGGCATGAACATAGCCAGCTCTAGCACTTACCAGTCCTGTGTAAGGAATTTGGGACTTCTGGGGCCCTCATCCTCTAAAGGGTGGCACAAGCCTACTAACCGGTAAGATAAACCCTTGGGGTGCCCGAGCAGCTCCACTTTCTGCTCGGTCTCGACTGCCCGGCGCTTCTTCGCCACGCGCCTGAGCTCGCAAAGGAGCGGGATCTATGGGGTGCTGGGCTTATGAGCTTTATGGGTTTTACGGTTTGCGTGGTTTGTAGTTGTAGTTGTAGTTGTAGTTGTAGTTGTAGCAGTAGCAGTAGCAGTAGCAGTAGCAGCAGTAGTAGCAGTAGCAGTAGCAGTAGCAGTAGCAGTAGCAGTAGCAGTAGCAGTAGCAGTAGTAGTAGTAGTAGTAGAGTAAGTAGTAGTAGTAGTAGTATTAGTAGTAGTAGTAGTATAGTATAGGAGTAGTAGTAGCAGAGCAGTAGTAGTAGTAGTATAGTAGTAGTAGTAGTATAGTAGTAGTAGTAGTATTAGTAGTAGTAGTAGTAGTAGTAGTAGTAGTAGTAGTAGTAGTAGTAGTAGTAGTAGTAGTAGTAGTAGTAGTAGTAGTAGTAGTAGTAGTAGTAGTAGTAGTAGTAGTAGTAGTAGTAGCAGTAGCAGTAGTGGTAGTAGTAGTAGTAGTAGTAGTAGTAGTAGTAGTAGTAGTAGTAGTAGTAGTAGTAGTAGTAGTAGTAGTAGTAGTAGTAGTAGTAGTAGTAGTAGTAGTAGTAGTAGTAGTAGTAGTAGTAGTAGTAGTAGTAGTAGTAGTACTAGTACTAGTGTAGTCGTCGTCGTTCTCGTCGTCGTTCTCGTCGTCGTCGTCGTCCTCCTCGTCGGAGGAGGAGTACTTAGTACTGCTGCCACTACAATTAGCATACGATTGTTGTTATTACTTAGTGGCATAAACACTATTTATAGTATGACTAGTTCATGTAGACCCGCAACAAACATGTGAGAGCATGCAGCATAGTTGCATTGCAGATGCATTCCCATAGTGGGCGGCCATAGCGTTGAGTTTTTTCATTGAACTCTAAGCTTATGCTGTCACACGCGGGGTCGTGAGGCGTTCTACACAGGCTGCTGCTGCAGCGGCGGCCATCGGCCTCTCCAGGGCGTTGCTTGTGACGTCAGAATTGCCCCAGGTCACAATCGACCCATCAGAGAGGGCGGCTGCAAAGGAACGTCCAGAAGCCCTGATGTGCTGAACATTGTGTAGCTGTGCCTGCACGGAGCTGCTATCACCTCCGTTTTCAGGCTGGCCCCAAGTCACCACAGAACCATCCTGAAGCAGCGCTGCCACCGCGCTGCTTCCGCCTCGAATGTCTTGTGCGTCCTTGAGCTTGTCCTGGACAGAGCTGCTGTCACCGCCACATGCCGGGCGACCCCAGGTTACAACAGAGCCAGTGCTGAGACAGGCAGCAAACCCTTCCGCCCATGAAAAGATGTGTTTCACTCCCTGCAGCTGCGATTGAACAGCCCCAGGGTTCCCACCACAATCACCGTCGCCCCAGGTCACCACTGAGCCATCTTGCAAAAGTGCAGCGAAGGCTGCATCACTGCCACGGATCTGCTGAACCTCACGCAGTTGTGTCTGCACCTGGCTGCTGTCTGCCCCACGACCCGGCCAGCCCCAGGTCACAACAGACCCGTCGCCGACAACCGCGGCAAAGGCAAAGCTATTGGCACAGATCAGCTTGACATCTTTCAACTGTTCATGCACGGCGCTGCAGTCGCCACCACACTTGGCACTACCCCAGCATACTACTGTTCCATCTGAGCGCAGCGCAGCAAAGGCAGAGTTGGAAGCCACGATTTGCTGCACATGCACGAGCTGGTCCTGGACTGAGCTGCTATCGCCGCCCTGGTTAGCCCGACCCCAGGTCACGACGGAGCCATCATCTAAGAGGGCAGCGAATGCACAGAGAGTAGCTCGGATCGCACAGACATTCCGGAGTTGATCTTGAGCTGCGCTTGAGTCACCTCCATCGCGCTGGGTTCCCCAAGTTACGACAGATCCGTCGTCTCGAATTGCAGCAAATGAACAACAAGAGCAGGCAATGTCTTGGACATTCTGCAGTTGCTCCTGGACAGCGCTGCTGTCACCACCATATGCTGGCGCGCCCCAGCTCACGGCAGATCCATCGCCCAGCACGGCCGCAAATGCCGCCGGGTTGCGGAAGCAGTCACATATCTCCAGTGGCTTGATGCTTAGTGACAAGACATCACCCGAGCAAAGGCCTGCGGCCTCGACGGAAGATGCACCTCTTAGCTCTTCACCGTTCCGTGCCAGCAACCTGCTGCGTCCCACACCAAGCGCTTTTTGCGCCTGGCGCCTTAGTGAGGTGAGGGATGACCGGGCATCGACCTCGATGGAGACAGACTTGCCACTCAGAAGCGAAATCCCAAGGACAGGCATTCTGAGGGGGGGATACCTTTGAACCCTTCTCAGATGCTGCGAAAAGCTTGTCGAGATAAGCCTGTTCCAAGCACGAAGACTGGCACATAAGCAAATCCTCAAAATCACTTGCGTACAATGTAAATCCTGAAAATCTAAACCAAGCAAAGAACAAGCTCACGGTGCTTGGAGCTTATCGGCTTCAGAGCTGAGAGTATGGATGAGGGGTTGCCGAGTTGTTTCAGGCATTCTCTAAGTCATGGTCATTATTTTGGGGGCATCCCAAGGGGCCATGTCCTAAACCCTAAACCCTAAACCCTAAACCCTAAACCCTAAACCCTAAACCCTAAACCCTAAACCCTAAACCCGGCACAGGGGGACCTCAGAAAGGATACAAGAAGGACCCTGGCCTGCGTCCGCCTCCCCAGTTGCCATCCAGGTCCAGGTCATCGTTTCCATGGGATGCCATTGAGCTAGGGCTTTGGGCGTCGAGGGTGGTGCTGAGGGAACTCTTAGGGCTTCATGGTCCCAAGCTCTAAACAATAAATTTCTTTCGCCCGAAAGCGCTACAGCCGTTCAAACCTAAAGCCATGAAGTCCTAAACCACAACATTACTTTCCAGAACAAATGTGCTCCTCTATACTTGAAGAAATCCAGGGCATCACCTGGAATAATCGACTTCTTATCCAGCACTGTCACTGCGCTCTCCTAAACCCTAAACCTTAAACCCTAATTGTGCTTTTGGGATTGCAAAGCGCGAGGCTCGAGGCTTCTGGCTGGCTTCTGGTGGGTTCAGCGGCTTTGGGTGTAGGACTTGGCTAGCAGCGGTCTGTGAAAAGAAAGATGCCCGTCCCGGTACTTCAACAGATGAAGCCCTGGGGGTTTAGGGTTTAGGGTTTAGGGTCTAGGATGTAGCGACCTGAATGGTTTCCATGTACTTATCGCGATGGATCAGCGAGCTGCAAGCCGAACATCATAATGGCACGGGCGATAGCGCAAGAGCTCGAAGCCGGCCCCAGACTTTAGAAAACGCAAAATGGTAGCAATCCAAATACGGGTGGATCTGAAGTACTAACAACCCACGAATTTACCCCCCCTCAAAGCCAAGATCCAGGAGTTCTTGCCGAGCTTCCACTAGTCACTATAACGATGAGGGAATCGCACGGGAATACTGTCACTCCTATGTCCTATGCCACCTATGCCACAGGGGTGTTGCTTCATGATGTCGTCAACTCCCATCGCCAAGCAAGAGCTCGGTGTCAAACGGCTTCTACTTTGAAAGTTCAGTTTGCTTCGATGAAGGCTGAATTGGTTTTGCTACAGTAGCGATTCAGCCCTGGCCCGGATCAAGCAACAGCGACGAGATCTCCCCAAGTAACATGTTTCATAGGCCGTTCCAAAGGGGCCAAACATATTGTGTCAAATGTATACCTGCATATACCTGCTGACACGCATGTATGCATTAGCACGCGGCCGGATATCAGCAAAAGAAAGCCCTCACATGTAAACTACACAGTGGTGGATACATACAAATATAAATACAAATATAAATACAAAACCAATATACATGAATAAACAAATTAAACTACTGACTTCTGATCCCCTCCTAACTATAACAGTTTAACTTTTCGGCTCCTTATTGTAGTTTCTACAATACCCAAAAGGCCAAAGTTCTAAGAGCCAACCAGAAGAAAGCCAAGATTATGTATACACATGCTGACAATTCACAGCAACCTTGTAGCCTATCGAGCATGGAGCTGGCCTCGTCGTGCCCCTCCTTCCTTAGAGGAGAAATGAAGAGGAGGGTTTGGGGCTTGCCTGGGGCTGAGGGTTCATGTCACGGGCTGGATCTTGCAGCTTGAACCTGAGGGGCTTGCACCACCCTACTGTGTTTTTGCTAGCCCCCAGAGTTCCGAAGGCCGAGCTTTGTAAAGGTGCGAAAGGCCATGCTCGTTGAAGCTCATTCTCTCACGGTTTCCGGGTCCCCGGTTTTTGCCAAACCTCCGTCCTAAAGCGAAAACGCATCCCAAGGCCTGCCTGTTTAGGGTTAGGGCTTTAGGGCCTTAGGGGCCCATAGGGGCTTTACTTAGCGCGTTGGCAGGGCGTCAGGGTTTCGGAAGCCTCTTGAACGCCTGATCCAAGCCGAGGTGCCCATCCCCCTCGCTCTGCGAGCGTACAAGGAAGGTCTTCACAGCTTGAGTCAGCCTCCATGAATCCACAGGCACAAGGATGGAGGCTTAGGCTAACTGGGGGTCTCGGGTGCAGACAAAGATTGCAACCGCAAACTGCCCAAAATCCTGCACCTTGAGCCTTGAGCCGATTGTACTTGAACCCATGATGGGCTCGTCTGAATGATCTTCGGGTTTCGGGTTCAGGGTTTAGGGTCGATTGTGGGCTCAAGGGGCTGGCTCGCAGCCACACGTCGGGTTGCAAAGTTTTGTTAAACCGTTCGAACGCCCGAAGCATGCGGTTTTCGATTCTAGGGCTTACAAGGGGGCCATCTTGTCATCTTCGGCCGATACACGGGGGGCAAATGCCTTCAGGCGACCGGGCCACATAGCAAAAAGCACCACGCGAGTGCCCTACGGACCAGCTTTTGGGTTTGGGCGCCACATGGCGCCACCCTCCTCATGCATAGCACGATTGTACATCAGCAACAATACGTTGTATATATATATATATATATAAATACATAATTATATAATATATGTACATACTAATATGTAGACATACACATGCCAAATCGGACTTTTCGGCAGGATCTTCACTGCAGTCCCAAAAGCTTCACCCACAGGCTGTGAAGTTCCGGGTTTACGCTTTCGCGTTTGGAAGGAATATACGACTAACCCTGAAAGCTAAGCGCTACACCCACCCGTAAGGCTGCATAAAACCACCCATTCCAGGGTCCCGGGCCTGTCGAGCATGCGACTGGAGTAGGCCTTCTTGCTGGAGCCGTCGGGTGCCTGACACCCAGACCCTGACAAAACACAAATGAAACCCACAGGCACGCAAAACCAGGAAAACCAAAATTTGCCCAACCCTGAATTCCTCTTAACCTACAGCATGTATGTTTGTGTATATCTACATATATATGTATATATTGTACATACATATGTCTACCCCACCTTGTCAAGTCCGTCCAGGCGAACCCAGAGAGGCTCGAAGTGCGGAAAAACCTCCTGTGACGCTTTGGGGCGTTTGGGGTTTAGGGTTTAATCCGACCTTGCACAAAAACTCTCTCTCCCTCTCTCTCATCAACAGTATCAAGGGATTGTTCTGCTGATATTCATGCATGTCATTTGCGGGGGAAATGCTTCTGAACCATTCCCCAGCCCCAAAACAAAGACCGCCCCTGCCTCCCGAATTGTGAACCAGGAGGAGCACTACACACACTGCAAGGCCCACTATACAATGCTGTAGATCTATAAGCAGACCTAAACTGCTGTGATCTTCTGCGGGTCTATCAAGTCCAATGCCCCTCAGGCAGTCCTTGTTGAGAAAAGTCTCCAGTTTCCTGCGAGAAGGGCCCTGGTTCGGTTTCTAGGGGTTGGGTTTCCGGGTTCAGGATGGGTTTGGCTTGACAGTTGTGGGAATTGAGGGTCCTGTTCCGATCTTGCCAGGGGCAGAGTGGGCTGTGCTTCATGGTGTTCCAGCCTTGCACACCTAGATCCCACATTGCACACAAACCTGCTCTGTAAGCCCAACATGGCCCTGTGCACCCTCCCAGTCCGCAAGATCTTCCCCAGCACACGCCGCACACGCCGAGCCCCGCACCCCTCGCCCAGGCCAGCCGCGACGGACACGAGGAGGGGCGGGGCGTTGTTGTAAGCTGCCAAAGGCATGTGCGCTTCTTGCAAACCGGGTGCAAAGGGGCGGTCGAATATTCGGCGTTCAGCACTTGGAGTTGACAGGGGGTGTTATAAGGGCAGGCTCAGTCCATGCAGAAGAGCTCCGAAAAATGTCGCAGGAATGTACTTCGGCATCGATGTCGCTACCTACTTGCGGCCTCTCGGTACTTGCAAAGTCTCCAGCCTTAGCTGCCTCACAAATCCAACAACCAACCCACAACTCCAAGAATTCAAGTGTCAGCCGGGGTGGCTGAGCGTGACTTTGGGCACGGCAATGTGCAGCTCAACCTGCGCAGCTTTAGATTCACCCAAACCCGGCTTCGGAAAGCACATGAGCGCGGGGGTGCTCTAACGTGTGTCCCCTTCGTGGGGCTTCTTACTATTACTATGACTCACCTCGATTGGTCCTGTGGGGGGAAGGGGGGGTGGGGCTCCACATGATGTGTAGGGTCCAGGCTCCACTACTCCTGTGTAAACTCGACATAAACGTATAAGCTCTGCACCACCAAAAGCCCCTGTAACCGCAAAGAGGCCTCCACTATTAGAATCCCTGTTCAGGACTGTTAGTATAGGGGGGAACATCCCAACCCTAAACCCAAACCCTAAACCCTAAACCCTAAACCCTCAACCCTAAACCTAAGACCCCAAGTGTGGGCCTTCGAGTTGATGGCCTCCGCCAGCTTGGCATTTCGCAGCGTCTCCAGCTGCGAGGTGTGCTGGGCATGCATGGCCATGGCCTGCAGCCAGGGTTTAAGGTTTAGGGTAGTGGTTTAGGTTTAGGGTTTAGGGTTTGGGGTTTAGGGTTTAAGGTTTAGGGTTTAGCATGGTTAAGCTTCGGAACTACAAGGGGTTAAGGTTTAGGGTTTAGGATGGTTAAGTTTCGGAACTACAAGGGGGGATGTAGGGGCTTATTTTGGTTTGAAGGATGCTAAGGGTAAGTTGAAATGGGTCCGAGGTTAAGCGCTGCAGTAGTTCTTTCTTTAAAATTTAAGTGATGCTACAGGAGCCACTGCGGGGGAGTTTTCGGGGGCGCGGCAAGACACCGCCATAAACCCGATTCGTAAACAGCGAGAGGCCGCTTGGCCGAAAGGACTGTCCCGACTGTCTACCAAACCCAGCAAAGTGCTTACCATCACTTCGCAGGGTCAATGTTCGTAGGGGTAAGTATTGTTGCCATATTTCGCGTAGTCCGCGCAGAAGGCTCCTTCTCGGCAGCTGCCATCGCCACTGCGACGCTGCGTGCCATTTCCTTCACAGTGCCACTGAAGTTGCATCTGGAGACTTTCCGGATGACTCTGACTCTAGAGGGTTGAGGTTTCGGAAAGAAGTTTGAAGCATGTTGCTGTCGCGGAGGCTCGAGCAACGGGGCAAAGGTCTGATCTTTAGCGTGCAGACGGGCAGAGGCTTTGAAGGGCTTCGCGCACTGAATCACGAAGCAAAACCTCGTTTCGCCGATTGCTTGCTTTGAGCTGTCATCATTGAATTCACCGAGAACACCGTCCACTTACCAATTGCAAACACCCCTGTTCGAAGGACCCGAGCAGATTCGCAAAGGAGAGATCCGAACTTATAGGGGAGAGAGCAAGCAAAGCCCTTCTCACCCCAGGGGTCCCTAGACCCTGAAGTCGGCACACCAACAGCTGAACCTGAAACCCGGAAATCCGAGGAACGTGGTCCAGGATAATCCCAAGCTATAGAAGTCCTCGTGGCGCTTGGCCTGGAGCTGCTGCTCCTGGTCACTAACTCGGGGGCTGTAGGAATCACTTGCTTATCGGGCCTCAGAGCTTAAGATTGAAGCTTAGAGTTTAGGCTTAAGGGTAATTGTGGGCTTGTCTAGTAGAGTCCAACCGATGAATCTCCGCCTGCAGCAGCTGCTGGTTTTCGAGCTTCAGCTTGCGGACCATTTCTTGCAGATCCGCGACCTGTCGCGTTTGGAAACTAAGCTCAGGTGGAATGGGACATGGGTTGAGAGCTCTCCCGAAAGGGGGACTTTCCCAGATTCCTAGCCTGTATGCAATTAGTTGGAGAGGTTCGGCCCCACAGGAGCATGACTCACACTGTTGAACACACTGCGAAGTGATGCCATGAGGAAGAAAGGTTGGCACCTGGTATGCTTCAGCTAAACGACCCTTTATCTCTAGAATCGTGTTCGTATATGGCCCACGTCCGACTTCATGGCTGAGGGCTCGTAGTGAATGGACAGCCAGCTACCGAGAAGGCTAGTAAGTTACGACTGTGCGCGCACGAAGTTTATCGAACTGAAGATGTAGGCGCAACGGTGCTGTTGCAATATGTGGTCAGTCCTCCTCATGAGGCAAAGAGACATGAAGCAATATGTTTGCTTGAATGCAAGAAAGCAGCATTTATGGAACTCCTGAGTCATATTGCTCGGAATGCGTCCTGCCATGACTAACTTGAGATCCTTTAGATATAGAGTCTGTGAGCGCTCCTCACGTCAGGTGCAAGTTGCAAGACGAACTGCCCAGGACGAATGCTGGCTCTTCTGGCAGTCATGTTAACATCGAAATTCTTAAGGGCCATGGGCTTGCACAGGCGGCCCAGTGCTTGCCGCAGTGTGATTGAGCGTCTTGTGAGCGATGTGCACATGGCGCATTCTACGAAGCCTGCAGCGAGCCACCGTCTGCACGTATTCGAGTTGACTTACGCATCAAGCAAGCTTCCGAAATCCAGGGATACGATATTATGCTGTCTTAGCCCATGTCATCATTCAGCTGCCTGCGCCGCAGTCTGCTCGGACGCCTGCTGGTCTCTTCTATCAGCGGCCTGACCCGGCCATGTCTCGAACTTCCGAGACGATATGGGGGGGTTTCCGAGAATAGGTTTTTTGGGGGTCCTATAAGAAGGCTTGTAGTCAGCATTTTGGGGGTTATTAGGGGCACCCCTATTTTGGGAAATGCCCTTATGCAGCAATCACCAGAGCTCCTCCTGCCTAAAATGCTGATGCTGACAAGGATGCGTCCGTGCAATGGTTTGCACTGCTTTGCTACGTCCTTGGCCGAAACTTCCCAGAGTTACCCAGAACCCTAATCCCTAACCCTGAACCCCTAAACCCCGAAACCCTTAATCCACCTAAACCCCTAAACCAAAGTATGTCTCCATTCAGCTCTGGGCCAAGCCTCGCAAACCTCCTGCGTAAGCTTCTGCTGGTCTTCAAGGCCCTGGCACCGAACTTCGTTGCGGAATCTTGGGGTCGGGAAATCGTGCGGGGGGGGGGGGGGGGGGGGGGGGGGGGGGCGAGGGTGAAGAGCTCAGAGTGGATCTCTTCCCCCCCACCCCCCCTGCCCCGAACACGCCCTGGAAATCCTAACCCCGACCCCTGTACCACCCTTCAAACCCCAAAAACCCAACCCGGTCTCCCTAAACCCTAAACCCTAAACCCTAAACCCTAAACCCTAAACCCTAAACCCTAAACCCTAAACCCTAAACCCTAAACCCTAAACCCTAAACCCTAAACCCTAAACCCTAAACCCTAAACCCTAAACCCTAAACCCTAACCCTAAACCCTAAACCCTAAACCCTAAACCCTAAACCCTAAACCCTAAACCCTAAACCCTAAACCCTAAACCCTAAACCCTAAACCCTAAACCCAAACCCAACACCCAAGTCCCGGTTCTCCTTCCGGAGGCGCTCGATTTCCGCCTCCTTCTCGGCGACCAAGGCCTGTTTTTGGGGACTGTAGGGTCCTTTTTTGGGGGTTTCGGACCTCAGGGGTACCTCAATAAGGTCCTTACAATAAGGGAAATCCTACTATTTGGGGGACTATCTTACGAGTCACTTTTTCTGGTAAACCCCCCAGAAAGGTAGGTGATTTTTGTTTTTTAAAACTGCTTTGGGCTTTTGGGGTTTTGGAGGGGTTGCTGGGTTTACAGGTTGATTGGGTTGACTAAGGGTTTATAAGGTTTGTGTGGGGTTTGCAGGGTGTTTAGGGTTTAAGGGTTTTTTGGGGTGTTCACGGTTTGGGGGGTGAGGGAAGTAGTAAACTAGGGATTCTGTTTCCAAGTGTCTAGGGGTTTGCATTTTAGGGGCTTCGCCTTAAGCCGACAAGGTTTTGCGGGTGGTAGGATGTAGGATTTTAGGGCTTAAATGGGGTTCATACAAACCGCCCTGACCCTTAAATCCCAGACATGCTCAAAAACCACGAGGTTGTACAAACCCCAGAACCTAAACCCTAAACCCTAAACCCTAAACCCTAAACCCTAAACCCTAAACCCTAAACCCTAAACCCTAAACCCTAAACCCTAAACCCTAAACCCTAAACCCTAAACCCTAAACCCACGCCTCGAGCTTTGCACAGAGCTCCTCGGCGCGTTCGGCGCGCTGCCGCTGGCTAGCGACCTGGTCCAAACCACGTTGTGGAGGAGTCCTTAAAAGGGATGATAATCAGGGGTACTAGAATCCCTATGAAGAAAGAGATTATAATTAAGGGGTACTAGAATCCCCTATTAAGAGATTATAATCAGGGGTACTAGAATCCCCTGGTAAGAGATTGTAATCAGGGGTACTAGAATCCCTATTAAGAGATTATAATCAGGGGTACCAGAATCCCTATTCAGAGCTTGTTAGTACAAGGGCCCAAGGTGTCAGGCTTAAAGCAATCGAAGAGGTTTGATTGCAGGTGGCTGGAGGACGGCGTCCCACAACCAAAAGGATCCTCCACCCTGAGGTATCCAGCCCCCTATAGAGGTTAGGGGGCTTAGAAAACCCGCCTTCTACTGTAAATCCTGAATCCCAGTTCTCAGCCCTCCAGAAAACTACATAATCCAAAACCTGGCGCCGTTTTTGTCCATGGATGCGCAGGCAGGCTTCCGTCCGTAAAGCATGTCTAGCTTCATGCGATTTGAAACCTTGGGAGATGCGGAGGAGCAAGCTGAGGACGGAACTTGTCGGTCTTGACGCTTCCCATCGCAAAGTCTCAAGATCTTCAAGTCGGAGTAGCCTACCATAGAATACCTGCCTTGCTTCAAGTCGTCTACGAGTCTGCATTCAAAATCGTCGACGCTTGGCTTTGCCAGGCTCCAGCTCAGGTGCCTCCGGTTGCCCCAGCAGCTTGCGCACAGCCGGAGGTAGGTCACCCTTCCTGGCCAGGGGCTTGGGGCTACCCCGGGTATGACCCCAAACTCTGCACACACAAATCGAAAGACATCTGCCCTACGTCTCTCCAGGTCAACAAGTTACTGCAGGGCTGCATACAGAAAAAGACCCAAAAACTCGAGGCGAAACTGCCCAATACTCTATGGCCGAACTTGGGCCGAGCTTCTTTAACATGGCCTGGATCTTGGGGTTCGTCACGGCAAAGGAAACACAGGCGCGTTGCAATGTCTCCACACCCTGCCATCTGGTGAGTCTGGTGTTCCACGTTTATACTGTAAGAACTAATTACTAGTTATCCCGGACGTTGCGTGGTACAATGACATCAGCTCAGAGACGACCCTGCCTTGAGAGCAGCAGCCTCCGCAATGGCGACGAAACTGCCCTCCTGTATCCTCGTTTGCGCAGGACGTTCCCCGGAGTACCCCAAAAACACTCACTCATACATGGACAAAGCCCAAATACGCAAGACAAAGCAAAGCATAGTAATACCAGCTGAGCTGTGCCGAAAAGCCTTGGGACTGATCACTGTGCAAACTATAATCATTCTTACCTCGCACCTCAAATTCTTTAATTCAGATTTCGAAATTATGCATGCATGCCTCGCGGAATTAACACTTACCTCGCGGAAGTAGTACCTCGCAGTGGCCGCAATCAAAACCAGACTTACAGAGCCAGGCACATCAACCCGCCCGAGCCCACAATGCCCCAGGCCTCACAAAAGGCCGCAAACAGTTGATGGAATTCCTGTTTCTGGGCCTTTATGTGCTCTGTTCCAGACTTCCATCCAAGATAGGGGAGGCCCCAGCCGAAAAAGTTTAAAAACCGTGTTTTTTAGAACTGTCAGCACCCGAATGTTCAAAAAACAAGGGTTTTTGAACCTTTAAGGGGACCCGGCTTGCCTTGGAACCTGTTTGGCTACAACAGTGGTTGGCTCGAATCCCCTGGCCTCACTAAACAAGCATGAGCGACTTGAGTTGGGTTGGTTGGCCGATCCTCCCAACAATTTGAAGGGTCTTCTTCTGAGGATGAAGGGGGGAGTCTGAATCAAGCTACTGGGGGGGTTAACAGCAGGGAGATTCGAGCCACCGGGCCACCGCGGGATTTTCAGATGCAGGTTTCCGAGAGAAAAGTTCAAAAACCCCTGTTTGCTGAATTTTCGGACCCTGAAAGTTCAAGAAACAGGGTTTGAACTTTTTACTCTCAGGGCCTTTCAGGGCACGCCTCCCAACACTCCCAAGGGTCTTTATGTGAGGATGAGCTACTGGGGGGGGGGGGGGGGGGAAGCGAGGGTTAACAGCAGGGAGATTCGAGCCATCGGGCCAGCGCAGGATTTCAGATGCAGGTTTCCGACTGAAAGTCCAAAAAAACATGTTCGGACCCTGAAAGTTAAAAAAAAAAAAAAACAGGGGTTAACTTTCTTTACTCTCAGGGACTTTCAGGGCGAAGTCTGAATCAAGCTACTGGGGGGTTAACAGCAGGGGAGTCGAGCCACATGAAGGGGGGTTGAGTCAGAATTAAGTTACCTCGCAGGCACCTCAAATTTCCAGGACTAATTCGCGAACCTACCTCGCATTTCCCCCGTGAGCTCGCTGAGCTCGCACTAGTTTGCACAGTTATTACTATCCTCTGAAACTGCTCTCGCGGGTTCTCGCGCAGCCTGTACAGGCCCCTTCGCGGGCTGACGCGCACCGGGGTTGCACTGACGGAGAAAGCTAAACACTATCGCGAGCTATCGCGCGCTCTCGATACCAGAGCTCTCTCGCAGAAACTGTCGAGCGCCCTGGACCGCGGCCCCATCAAAGATAAACCCTCTATCTCACATAATTACTCCTTTCATGGTGGTTTATGCCGCCGCTCAGCTGTTAATAGCAAGAGTTTTGGTTGCAAGAACACCACTGCTTCTACCTTAAGCTCGAGAAAGCCAAACCTTCAGAGCGAAAATTGCACACGAGACTTGACACTTCAGAAGCTGCTCTCTTGCAAACAAGATCAAGCACCTCCCTAGGTCCCTCTTCCTGAGACGGAGGATCTCAAAAACACCCACGCTTTTCTCACCAAGCGTCTCTGGTTGTAGGGCATCTGCAAGTATGTGCACAAGGTAGTGCACTTGCCAGCGGTGAGCCAAATCCAGAACGTTCAATAAAGTCTTGTAGTCTGGGTCTTTGCACGTGGAACTTGTGTACATCATGTCCACCAGGAGCGACACATCCGAACTTGTAGAGTCCTTGACTGGGATCCGCCTGCTCTCGCCCTCCCTCATTGTAGATCCCAGCATGGCCTTCAACACAGGCGACGCTGCCACGAGGACGTGGTCATGCGCTGAAACCTCGCCGTCTGCAGCTTCAAAGATCACATTGTGCGTGGAGGTCATGTCCCTGACAGACTCCCACATATCCATGAGGCCCCGATGCACAGCTATCTTCTGGTTATTCTGAGGCAACGCTTTGGCTAATAGCTTGATGACTTCCTCGAGGTACTCGCACTCTTCGGACCAGTCTGCACCCCCCTTACCCTCTCGCATGGCATGTAGCATTGCAAGTGTGTATGACATAGCAGACCGCCCATGAATGGAAATGCGAATCATTGTTTCTTCTTGTTCCGACTCTTGCCACAAACTTGTGGTACCCTTGCATGCATTCTGTTTTCGCGGATCTGCACCAGAAGCCAGCATCCACTCGATGATCTGAAGGTACTGCTGGCGTTTGCTCTCCAGGTTGCAGACAGTGAACCTTATCGCTTCATGCAGCAGTAGACCGTTGTTGTCCGTTGGCTGGTTCCAGTTGAAGCCGAGGGGAGTGAACCTCTGCAGTGCTTCTAGATCGCCCAAGAAGATCAGACCCTCCACCTCAGCAACGTCCTTCCCTGCCGACATCTGCTCAGGTGGCCCTGAAACCTATGGAAACTCGGGGATCACTTCAAGGAGGCGATCGGGCATCTGATGACTTTGTGTCCCTCTACTTCGCGACTCGATGGTGTTCTCTGCACAAAGATCCGAACACTCTTCCGAGAGAAGATTCGGGTATAAAGCTTGCGGGTGATCTCATGGATGCATGCCCTCGCGTATGTGATGACTCTTGCTTACCGCTACTTAGCACGATGGCCGCTTTTGAGGATGTTGCTGAAGCTGCAGCTGCTTGATGATGAAGCCTATTCCCTGTTCTCACAAGGGCTGATGATGAACGAGCCGAGAGCTTGCCAGGCCTCCACCCCTGCACTGCTGCATCTGACTGAAAGACCCTGCTTCCAAAAGACAACGCGCCCAAACCCGAGGAAAACTTCTGACCCTTCCTGATCAAACTAGAGCCGGAACCTCCCGATTTCGAAATCTATAAAACATCACAATCATCCCCAAGAACGCCCCGCAACATATCTGCAGTGACGCTTCCTCGGGGGCATGGTTTTAGGGTTTAGAGTTCAACCTCCATGTATGCCCCGGACCTGCATCGCTGAGGATAGTGGGGGATGATCATGGGGATGCTCATCTTGCTTGGAGGTCCTTGTGAGTTAGGTTGCGAGCCTCGGATAAAACCCCGTCAACAAACCTCCGTTTGATCGCGGGCTGCCTCCGTCTCAAGCTCGACACGTGCCGCCACCGCCTCTTCAAACTGCGCTGTCAGCGAGGCGACCTGATTGCTCCAAGCTTCTGCAATAGTTGCGAGGTGTCTGATTTTACATTATCCTCAGTTCTTCTATGTTCACCGTACTTTGCAGATTATGCATAGTTACAGATACACACATACATGCATGCATGCATACATACATACATATCTTGACAGCTCGAACCACAAGGCACTTAACTACTGCCTTTGGCCCCTCTGTTTGGTTTGTGTCAAGATGGCTCTGGGAAGACGTTGCTTTGGCAAAGTAGTCGTATCCAACGGTCTCGTCCCCCTTGCTTGAAGTAGTGATGCAATTGGCGAGAACCCACTTTTAGGGTTTAGGGTTTAGGGTTTAGGGGGAAATCCGCAAAGCCCTGAGCTCTGAGCAACACACGAAACTCAAGCCTGCTAGCTCATCTTCTGCTTTCTTGAGTCAGTTCACAACACGACCCTAAACCCTAAACCCTAAACCCTAAGCCCTAAACCCTAAACGCTAAACCCTAAACTCTAACAGAGGCAGGGCACCTGCGGCTTGAGCTCCTTCAGCTGCTTCGTGGCCTCTTGGAGCTCGGCCTCACCGAGTCAACACATTAAAGGTTCACTGAGCTCGGCTTCCTCCCACTGAAAATTGGGGAATAAAAGGGTTAAGGCTTAAGGGCTTTAGGGTTTAAGGGAATATTTTTGAGGGGCACCATTTTCGTGGACTCCCTCGGATGGGGTTGATTTTTTTGGTTTTTGTTAGAGGATTCCGTAAGGACCTAGGTTTCTAGTTGTGGGCTCCAGTTCCCCTGCTCTGTCTAGCTGAGGCCTCTGGCCCCGGCAGTTTCTGCTTTAGGGCTCCAGGCCTTGCAGTCTTTCGTCTAACGCTCCAGGCCATGCGGTCTCTTGTTTAACTAGCTCCACTGCAGTCTCTAGCTGAGGGCTGCAGGTTCTCAAGTCTCTGGTTTAGGGCCCAAACATTCAGAACTTAAGCGTTGATCGGCAGCCGACTTCTCTAATATCACCGGGGCAGGGTTTCTTATTTGAGGGAGGGTGTATAATCGAGTTCCGGATTATTGATGGGGCAAAACATTGGCTTTAGGGTACTTCGAAATTCGGGCTGAAGTGGAAACACTAGTGAGATGCAGAGAGGTATTCGGGCGCAGGGTTTTTGGGGGCTAGCGGCTGCTCCAATCAGGCATCGTCGCGTAAGCCCCTTGCCCTTAGATCTAAACCACAGCCCTGGACCAGGGTGCAGGACTTCTGTTTCTATGAAGACGCAGGAGCTTACACCAGACGATTGAGTCAATGGATCCGGGGAAGGGGGAGTTCTGAATTAGGAGGTTAACAAGAAGCCCATTGGCCCCTCAACCCACCCCCGGCCTGCAGCCGACCCTTCTCCTCGCTCAGGGCATCCCGCTGCCTTGCATAACAGACTCTCAGCCTCCCCAACTCACCCCGCCCCCCCCCTCCAGCCTAGTGCAGTTGGGCTTTGAAGTGTTTAGGGCCCAAAAGGCACCAAGTGAGTGTGGGGGTATGGAGGGATTGGGGTTGGAGGTTGAGGGTTTGAGGGATTGAGGTTGAGGGTTTTACGGTTCGGGTCTCGGGTTCAGGCCAGGTTTTAGGGAAAACCTCCTTCGCACTTTTGATGGGGTGCATGAACCCTGAGAAATCGAGGCTTTCGGGAGGCTTTCTGAACTTACCCCTTAACCCTTAACCTTTAGCACTGAACCTGAAAAGCCAAAACACTTAAAGCTTTAAAAACCTTGCGCCCTCTTAACCCTTAAAACCGGCGCCTTAGATGCCCGGGCTTTGGCCTTTCGTGCAAGGGCCCTCCGCCCTTGAAAGGCCCAACCTCCCTGAATCGCCCTACAACGACGTGGTCATTCCTGGCCTTGACAAAGACCCCCTGAAAAGCCCTGAAAGGACCACAAGCCCATGATACCTCCGTGGCGGATGGTTTGGACACTCCTTCGCATGTTTAACATCGTCACCGTAGGGTTTAGAGCTCTTAGAAATCCCCCCCCTCACCCCACTTCTCCATCAAACCCCTTTAAAAGCCCCCCACCCCCAGCAGTCGGCCGCTAAATCTCTGGGCGCCTTCTAAGGTGCTTCAGGCTGGCAGGGGTGAGTCCGCAGGGCTCCTCCGAGGGGAGGGGCCTCACAGGGAGCAGAGTAAGAGCAGCTAATCAGGCGTGGAGGAGTGATTTCAATTGAGGTTGCCAGCAAAATTTGACGGGGGTCTTGTTGGTTTAACGGGTCGCTTACAATCCGAATGGAAGTTTGGTGGCTGTTTTGGGGTTAGGGGGTCGGCGTGCGGGTAGAGGGCGGGCGCAGCGACGCGGACGGTTTTGGATTCCGGCTTGAGGCTCATGGGGCTCCGGTGGGGCAGATGAACGCTTGTAAGCTCGGGTTGAAGTCGTTCGCGCTGCGCGATAATTCGTCAGTCGCGGGCTCTCTGGCCTCAATCAAGAGCCGGCTTTCAATCCTGAAAGAATGATGTATGCAGGTTAAGAAGGGCACGGAGCTCTGCATTAAACATAGCTGCGCGTGTGAACAGCTAGTCAGTGATCTCAGGGGAACCAGGTTCGTTCAGCAGGGAGGCTATCCATTCCGAATTCTCGCAGCCCTAAAGTCGAACTCAAAACGCTCAAACCCTAAACTGCCACCAAGAAAATGTTCACAACAAAGAACCATGATCGCCCAAAGCCCTGACGCTAAAGCTCCAAACCCTAACGCAGAAACCATCTCAATCCCCTACACTCCGGTACCCTCCAACGCGCCAGCCAAGAGGCGCAGTCTGCGACAAGCTCTCGCCCTCTGCATCCATAACCTTGACGCATCAGCTGCTTTGAGGGTAAATGTTAGGACCGAGTCTTCAAGACCTTTGGCCGTTGTGAAATTTTATTTGTAAGCCTACTGAGCTCCTGTAAACGCGGGTCTCGGGTTGGGGAGTCCCATCTTAAGTGCCAGGCTGGCTCATGCAATTTAGGAACTTCGTAACGATAACAGTAGTACTAGAAATAGGAAAACATACTGAATCAAAACATCTTAACGCTGCTAATACAACTAACAATGAAAACCTTTGTCGTATACTGAAAAAGATGACCAACAATGAAGGAAATAGTAGTAAGAGTAGTAACAGCCGTAAAAAACACTTGGGAATGACCCCCAACAGCCCCCCCCCCCCCCCCCCCCGCAGACTTGGAGAAGCGGTCCAACTGGTCCCACCCAAAGTCGCAGCGAAGAACATTTTGTAGACACACCTTGCAAACCCCAAAGCTTGAAAAGCCCACCAAACACCCCATAAGCCAGAAACCACCTCTATAGGCCCTCTAAGCTCTACAAGCCCAAGCTTAAGACGAAAACCAACACCCCCAAAACTTCAAATCTTAGAGTCCGAGGTCGCCGGCGGGATTCGCATCTTTCGAGGGCGATGCGCTGGCCACGAGCCTCGGAGCTTTGGACTTCGGGTGTCGTTGAGGAAAAGCTTCTCAGGCCATAGGGTTACAGAAACTCAGGGTTGGGCTCGGGGCTCTAAGTTTCGAGGCTTTCGGGTGTGGATTGGCCTGGGGTGGAGAGTGGTAGGGTGTAGGAGGGGTGGCCGGGACTGTCAACGCTTCCCCACCTCAATGCGATCTGCCGCAATGCGGAACTGCCTGATGACAACAATGGGGCTTCGGGACAGACTCCCCCATAACAAGAACCGGAATATGAGAACCCCCAATTCAATGTCCTTAAACTTCCTGGCATACGGTTCGTGATTGCGGGCCAGGGCAGGGACGACGTCGTCCCAGCCATCTGAGATGAGGGACTCTCCAAAGACCTGGACTCACTGCTGCTCGTCGCTTAGAGACTGTTTAACGGCTGCCCAAGTGCCTTATCCCCCTAAACCCTAAACCCTAAACCCTAAACCCCTAAAGTGGGTCAAATCGCAGGAGTAAAGAGCTGGAGCTGCAGGGCTTGCATGGAAGCCCAAAGCATCCTATTTACCAGTTGGCCATTATAACATCAAGAGATTAAACCGCGCATACACACACCCTGTGGAGAAGTCGAAAAAGCCCAGATGACCAAATGGCATCAAGTTTACAGCATCTTTGAACCCACATGCGGCAATGGTGGCACTCTATGGAGCTTGCAGGTCCCGACAGAAGGCCCTAAACCCTAACCCTAAACCCTAAACCCTAAACCCTAAACCCTAAACCCTAAACCCTAAACCCTTGTGCGTGACAATCAGTCCCCTCAGCCCACGGCAGCGTGGCTCCTCGACGGAGCACATTGCTAGTTCCGCGGGGGATGCGGCTGAATCCTGGACATGGGCGTTGCTGTGCGCGTTCCGCCTCTAGGCTTGTAGAGAGGATGCGGGTATATGAAGAGGACCCTCAGAAGGCGCCTTGCATAAGCTGCCGCAAAGGCTTGGGTAAACCTGGCCTCGTCTCCTAAAGCTGCAGACAAAACTACGATTCCTTTTCAAAAGCTTGTATCCTCGGGTCTATCCTCCAGGCTAGCAAAAGACAGAAGACAACCAATGATTCAGGGTGCAGTCTTCCAAAGTTTACTACATGTCGTACCCAGGTCTGAAAAATACTGGTGTACACCACGAATGGTAACTTCGTCGTCCACCACAGCCAGATGTCGAACAATTAATGGGCTTGTTTGAACTATTGCCTTCTTTATCGGCTTCCTACATGTGTTCGCAGTCATTGCCTAGGGTCGAACCAGCTTCCAAGTAAACCTTCAACCAATCAGCCAACCCGGCCCCAAACCCCCTAAACCCTAATCCCTAAGCCCTAAACCCCAAACCCTGAACACTAAACCCGAAACCCCCTTAAACCCTGAAACCTGTTCTGCAGCCCCTGCTGGCCAAGGAGCCTGAATTCGAGCGCTCCGGTGCAGCTGGGCGACTTGCCATGTCTCAGTGGTTCCAGGTAGGCTTTAGACGTTTCTTGCCCCTTTGCGTAAAAAATCCTGCGCGGGTCCTATATGACGATTCATGGGGGTCCCGCTCCTTCCTGCTGTGGAGTGCACGTGTCCGACGATGTAGGGTTTCAATATATGGGAGGGTTCCACAAGATGGTTGACCGGGAGCAGCCCTGCGACTGCGTGGTCCCGGGTAGGTGAGGCAACTACCGTGCCCACTCTGTCTCGCGTGGAACAACGACAGATACAGCACATCAGTGCCAGAATGTTGTATCGAACGACCGACGATGACTACCATCTTAGATCTAACGCATGTGCCTCTTCTTAGGTTTTTTTCGAGCTACCAATGTCTTTGGTTTTCTATTCTGAAACTTGCACCCATAGCAGCAGCAATTCGCACGAGCGGGTGTGCAACACAAGTTACCGCCGCGGAGGCCACTACGGCTCGCAAGGGATCAAACCGAGTGTTCCAGGTTCCGGGGTTGAGCTTCACGCAGCTGTACATGTTATGCACACAGGCATGCGTGCGTATGAACATGTGTGCATATATATATATATATATACATATACGTATACATAATATAATCATAAATAGAATATATCCGTCTATCCGTCCTCATGAAGCGTGGCCTCTTGCAGTTTAGCGTGGACATGCGCCCTGCGGATCGCCTTTGAAATGAGCGGTCGCATCCGTTCCGGCACTTCCCTTTGCCGCAACGGCCTTACCCCCTAACAGCAAGCTCCCTGTTCTGACTTTCCAAATACTCAATGAAATTAAAGAGGAAGCTTTCAGAGCGGCACCCGTACTACGCCAAACGAAGCCAGCATAAAGCTCAACACCACACCCCGAGAAACAGAGAAGCTAGTTTCAGGATCGAAACATCTGAGACCGTGGCCTCACTCAGGCGTTGGCGTTTGACAAGGCCCAGCAAGACATGGGGCCCTTCCCCGGAAGTTAAAAACAAAAAACACAAACTCCCGCACGCAGCAGTAGCTGGGTGTTTGCTCAGCGAAAGGAGCTTCAGGGCCCGCCAGGAGTTGGAGGGCACGTTGGTTTGTAGGGGTCTGCAAGAAGCTAGTCAGTTAGTGCTTGCGTGCCAGCTTGCCGTCATCCTTGGATTCCTCGTCCCCCTCGTCCTGACACATGGCCTATGTAGTAAAGCCACCCTTTAAAGAACTCAAGATCCTTGAGCGCTGATGGCAGCAGCAGGTGCTGATGGAGTCGGGCCACTACAGGCATACACAGGACCATGGGAAGGCTAAGGTGACTCCCATGCTGAAGTGCAGAAGTGCGAGGAGAACAGTGCTGTAGCAGGCAGCTCCAGGGACTAAAGCCTGAGATGCAAAATCCTCATCCCCAAGACTACATATTGTGAACTCCAGTGCTGGAAGAGGTTCCTGAGCTTTCGGAGTCCTGCCTTCAAACTAAAGAACCCAAGGATGCCCCCAAAACCTCTGCAAAGCCTCTCAGCCCCCACGCGTTTGGCACAGAAACGCTCGTTTGCAAGTCGTATCTGTGCCATATGTACAGTATATGCCATGGTGTCCAGGGCTCTAAGCTGGCTCCAGGGGGCGCTGGCTTCGAGAAGTGTCTTCTGCCAGGGTTTTAGGGGACTTGATCCTAAACCCTAAACTGAAGCACTGTTAGGGCTTGAACTAAGCCTCGCCCCCAAGCCCAAGAATCGGCTACGGCCGAAAGCCGTGGAGTTTCCACACGTGCACGTCCTGATCGGAGGGGGGCTTTGAGGGTTTGGGGCTTTGGGCCTAAATCCCTCCTTCTGCAGCCTCTTGCCTGAGGAGCCTCTCCTCATTGCGACAAGGATCGGGTACTACGTTACTACAGACGAGCATGCAGAATGCAGGTGATCGAAGACAACAAAGCTGCAACAGTACTCGAACTGCGGACAGCTAAGTACTTCAATGACAAGAGCAAGCCCTACTGTGGCGTACCCTAAACTCTAAGCCTGTCCGACTGCACCATAAGAGCAAGCACCCGCCACCCCACTACGAAACCCAAAATTTGCACCTCGCCTGGATGGGGAACTTTCCTCGTGCGCTGGACTCAGCCTGCACGTAGTCCAGCATGACCTGGTCCTGCCCGGAAGGAAGCAGATACAAGCAGATCTCCTTTTCAGGGACACCTTTTTCCCTGGTGCCCAAGGCCACAGGGGCTACAACGATCATGGGGGGGCTTAGGTGGTCCTCGTTGGTCCAGTGCTCCGGCATGCGTCGCTGGGCCTGGGACAGTGCCTGGCAGCTCGGGAGAAGAAGCGCCATGAGGTTTGAAGCACATGAAGGTAAGAAAACTCTACGACCCCTGAATTTAGACTAATTTAGAATCCTCAAAACTCAATTTATTGGAGTTTCGGGAAGCAGTTGTAAGGCGGGCTGCAGAATTGGCCTAGGGACGCTTAGGGTTTGCAGGGTCTGTAGATCTTAGAAGCGTCTACGCTTGTGGCACAAAACCCTGTACTGCGTCCTCGCACTCATCTGCGGCACTGTAACCCCTCAACCCTCGGCCCTAGGCCCGGCAGAGGTCTAAGAGCGCCTTGCAGGCTTTCTCCGCAAGGTGCTTTGCATCAGCATCTGCCGGATCGGTGCGTAGGGGCTTTGTTGGGGAGCGATAGTATAGTACGGCGACTATTACACTCTAGGCGGGCGCTGCGCAGAGTTCAGACGCTTGTGATGCATGAAACGTGTCTCAGTCTCATTTCCGATGCGAGCCCGAGCCGGAGGGTTACGGGATGGGCCAAAACTGTGGAACCCGGGGCTTCAGCTGCTTTTCAGGGCTTCGGAAAACATCGAGCCCTGGAACTGAAGATGGAGCACCTCCAACACCGTACCTGTAGTGCTCTTGGAGCACATGGTAGATACACCTGAGGAGGCTCTGCTTAATGGAAGTGCAGGGTTTGCTTTAGAATTACACGTGCACAGGGTTCATGGTCAGTCTAAGTACAGAGCTGACGCAAAAGGAGACGGATGGGATGGCGGAGGTGCAGGTTATGCAATGTGCTTGAAGAGTACGTATACATATATGGTTCAGCGTCGAGCGTCCTGGGCCCCCCCCCCCCATGGTATCCCCCCCCCCCCAAGTCTACTCTACGGTCCCTAAACCCTAAACCCTAAACCCTAAACCCCCAAACCCTAAACCCTAAACCCTAAACCCTAAAACCTAAACCCTAACCCTAAACCCTAAACCTTAAGTCTTAAACCTTAAACCCTAAACCCTAAAACCCTGAACCCTAAACCCTAACCCTAAAACCAACCCCCAACCACACCACAGGGGGGGGGGATCATCTTAGTACCCCATCCGCGGGGAAAACCCTAAACCCTAAACCCTAAACCCTAAACCCTAAACCCTAAACCCTAAACCGTAAACCCTAAACCCTAAACCCTAAACCCTACCCTAAAACCCTAAAACCCTAAACCCTAAACCCTAAACCCTAAACCCTAAACCCTAAACCCTAAACCCTAAACCCTAAAACCCTAAAACCCTAAAACCAACCCCCAACCACACCACAGGGGGAGGGGGGGGTACCATTGAGGGGGGGGGGGGGTAGGGGGGAGGGGGGGGGGGGCCCGCCGGGGCTGAATCATATATAATGTAATTCTGTATTTGAACAGGTGTATGTGAACACTATCCGAATCTCTGAATCTGAACAGATATGTCAGTGCTGTACCATACACACATGTTTCAGCGCTGTCAGGCAGAATCACCTAAGGCACGAGAGTGTGCAAGACCAGGTTCCGCCCGAAATTGGGATAGTTGGGACTTGGGTTCTCTGTGCATGTTCCTGGAAAGGTTGGTCTTTTTTTTTTTTTGGGGGGGGGGGAAAGCGTAAGGTACCTAAATCCTTATGTGCATCTGTAGTATTGCTGTCTCTATACGTTGGTCCAAGCAGTTTCCGTGGCTTCAGGCCGTATCTTTTCTGATATTCCTGCTTTGGTCAAAGCAGTTTCCGTGTGGCTGTACACGACAATGTTGTATACTCAGTATTTTTACTTGTAACTCTCACGTATGCTTCTGTTTGCTGAACATACGCCTGTGTACAAACATCCTGCTTGCTTGTAAACAGAGGGCCGGGGGGGGGGGGGGGGGGGGGCAGGTGGTGTGTGGTTGCAGAGTACGTATGTAGAGCGTATACATATCTATATATGTATAAATGTGTATACACATCTGCATGACAGCGATCACACAACCATAGAAACTTAAAGCAAAAAGAGGGGGGGCCCCGTGGCAGGCCGATCTCTCTCTCTCTCTCTCTTTATATATATATATATATATATATATATATATAACATGATATAGATATAGCTATATAATGTATATATGTACATGTCTTGTTAACAAGGGCTTGAGGTGCCTGTTGTGACAAACAAGGCTGGGGATTGACACCTGAGAGCCTGGGAAATCTCGAAAGCCTACGTTGTAAGGCACGACATGGCTGGGATCCGAACTGTCCGGCGATGAACTGAGCGAAGGGAGCATCTGGATGCCTCTAAACTGCCGACCAAGACAAACTGGGAAGAAATGTTCATGTTGTAGTTGGATGCTTGCGCAGAAGCGACCTTCACTTAAAGGATAATCGCTGACTTTTTGGATGTAGTGTGCCGGGAATGTCATGTCGTCAGGCCCGCACAGCATGAATGTGGCCCAAAGGCGTGTGGCATTTTGTGCAGGCATCAGCTTCGCAGCAGGTCTTAAGGGCAGTAGCTGTCAACTAGTGGTGAATCAGTCACAGCAAAGGGGAGAGGAAACGCCAAAGCCGCGGCAGGTTCCAGCACTGCAGCATTTTTGTGTAGAGACAGCGCCTGTGTAGTCACTGATACCCCTGAACTGCTTCCCTGAATCTTGTGATCAGACGGATGCTCAGCGCAGACCTTCCCAGTGCATTCGCATGACTGGCGTGGTACGTACTGTAGTTGCTGATACGTAAACCCTAAACCCTCTAAACCCTCTAAACCCTCTAAACCCTCTAAACCCTCTAAACCCTCTAAACCCTCTAAACCCTCTAAACCACCTAAACCACCTAAACCCTATAGAACTAGAGTATATACATCATTGCTCGGGTTTCCGGGTACGGTGATGTCCTTACAAGCCCTACACCCTCAACCAGCCTCCGGAAGCAAGCAAGGCAAGCTCTCCTCGGATGATGAACAAAGGTGCTGAGACTGTGAGGGTCTGCGGTTAGGGTTTAGGGTTTAGGGTTTAGGGTTTAGGGTTTAGGGTTTAGGGTTTAGAGTTTAGGGTTGAGGGTATCTATTGTTTAGTAGTAGGAAGGGAGGTCACCACAAAAACAAACTTTAGAGATCGGCAGCCGGCGCCAGAAGATTATAACCTGATATGGGGGTCTGCTTTGCTTTCGTGGCTCCTACTTTTTTTCGTCTAGTAATGGGATTATGAGGGAGCACACATGGGAATTCTGGGCTCTGGTCTTTGGACTCCGGTATTGCATCAATCAGACTTCTGCCTCACAAGCCAAGATCAAACCCTGAGATGTTAGCATGCTTGAATAGACAAATACGTGGAGAGCTACTGTAGGAAGGTCCTTTCGGCTTGTGGCGGTTCTCTCCAGAAACTGAACATGACTGACTTTCTGCGGCGTTTTGGGGGTGAGAGTTTAGGGTCATTTTATTATAGGGTTTACAACAAGTTCGGTGCCAAGCCGCATGGATTCCTCGTAGTCCCGCCCTGCGCTCTGCCATGGTTTCGGAGGTCCAAAAACAATGGCTCAAGTATCGTCGGCAGCTATACATGCTTGGTCGCAGATTTTCTGAAGCCTAAGCCGTTTAAAGTCACACTTGGACTCAATGCCATTAGCTGCCAGGGACATCTTCTTTTGAGACCGATGCTTGATTTCGACACAATGGGGCTTAGGGGCTTGACCCCTAAGCTTTGGAGCAGCCCCTGCCTTAGCTTCTTGCACAAGACTGAAGGACCCCAGAGCATGCAGAAAGCCTCAGAGCCTCAGGGACCCCAAATAATCCACACCAACACCCCAGAACTCCTCCACCTAGATCAAACCCCACAGCCCGAAACCCCAAGCTCCTCAACCCTCAAAACTTGAAAGTCCGATACAACCTCGCACAAAGCGATTTCCTTCCACCCGGAACCCTAAAACCCTGCGCCCGAGGCTCGCACGCAGGAGGTGGCAGTTAGCCAGACCTGCCGGGCCCATGGGTCTGTTTAGGGTTTAAAGGTTTTAGGGGAATTAGGGTTTAGGGTTTGGGGTCTGGGGTTTTTGGGCTTAGGGTCTAGGGTTCTGGGTTTAGGGTGGTAGGGTTGTAGGGCGTAGGCTTAGGGTCGCCAGAGGAGGCTTGCTTGTGAAGAAGGTAATGGTTTTAAACGCCAACATGAATTGCTTGGGTTGGCTTTCTTTGGCTGGGACGTTGCAGCTGTTCTTGGTTAGTGTGCCAGTGCCCGGCCTTTAGAGCAGTGTGCATTTATTATTATGGATTATGGCGACATGTAGAAGTTGGCATAGGAAATGCAATGCTATCTCACTCGCAGAGTCTGCTTGTGTTTTGTTAGGGAGGGGGGGGAGGGGGTGGGGCCGATTTGCAAGACTTTCACATTACCGAGTGTTTTGTTGGATTGAGAAGGTTTGCTTGTGTTCTGGGTTTCGGGCTGACGCCGTAGCCTTGCGCTGCTCCAGGCCGCACAAGTCAATAGCAACAAAAAACAAACAAAAAGGAACTGAACTGCAATGGGGTCTAGGCGGGGTGCAGGGCTGAGGTTTTGAGGATGAGCGCTTAGGGTTCAGGATCTTCTGGGGATTGTATGGGATTGTCCTAGAGGCTGGCTTTGCCTTGGTACGGCAGCTTGAAGTCCGGATCCAGAGTGATTGCTTTCATCAGGCAGTCCACAGCCTCATCGTACCTGTCTCTGGAGGCAGCGACTCCTAGCCCAAGGTCTGAATTCTGAGCCCCCTACTGCCTTCAAACTCATACAGTAGCCCATCACACCCCCCAAAAGCCACAAAACCGCACCCCACCCCCCCCCCCCCCCCCCCCCCCCCCCCCCCCCCCCCCCAAAAAAACCTAAACCATGTCCCCTGGAGGACTTCGACACTGTCCGCCCATCTAATCTATTCACGAACTCCATCCCCTCCATTCCCAGAAGCATCTCGCGTCGAAAACGAGAGGTGCAGCACGTGTAATTTAAGAAGTTCAGTCTATTCGAGGCTATAGGGAGGGTCTGAAGGCGAGCTTTGCAGATGTGCAGCAGTGAAGTTCAATATTGCCTGCATGTTCATGCCTGAAGGATGTGCGATGAT